ACACTACAGCCAGTTCCCGGCCCCGCAGAGGCCCAGCAAAGCCCCGCCCCCATTTGCGGCCTAGCCAATGGGAGCTTGTGGAGGCGGGGCTAGGGCGCAACTCGGCCTGTTATTGGATTGAGGCCGTAGTTCCGGATACTCCTGGAGGCCTGGCCCTTCCCACCCTCGGTTTCGCCGAAGAGCCTTGAACGTTTCGCCGCCTTCGTGTGGACTGGGAGACCCCTTTGTCCCCGGGAGCTCGGAGGTCTCAGATTTTCCTACCCGAGCCGGGTTGCCTAGGAGGTGGCAAGTGTGCCCGGGGTTCTCCGGCGTTCCATTAGCCTCAGGGCTAGGAGCAGGGAGGGTTTCATGGGCGTCCTGTTCTGTCCAATGGGGACTGAGCGCGGGGAATGGGAGGCATGCAGCCTCCGTGAGAGAAGTTAGTACACGCAGATCTAGGAAAAAGCCCCAAGGCTGAAAATCTATCTCCATGAGCAGAGGGCAGGGGAAACCAAAGAACGAGTCTTCCCTCCCACTAGTCTAAAAATTAATGGCGCTTGTTAAGGGAAACTTACCTAAGTGACCTCTTGCGTGACTACTGGAGGAAATGGGTCCCTGTGCCGCTTGACAGGTGCCGAAGAATTATATAGGGGAAGGCGAGAGGGGCGGACAGTCATTGGTACTAGTACACGAATGCCACCAGGTACGGAAATTATTTCACGTGCTTGAACGGGCCAGGACAATAACCTGTGCCCGGAACCAGCGCAGAGCAGGGGGCAAGGGAGGTACTGGTTTATGTCAGAGTGAACATCAAATACAGTCAGACAGTGTCTCAAGGAGGTTTGCAGTACGCAATCCCCCCCTTCTGGCCAAGGCCCACCTCTCGGGTCCAGCAGTGGCAACTTCACGGAAGTCTCTCCTCCACACTCTACCCCTCATGACCAGCTCTTACAATCTCACGTGACCCCCTGTTCCCCAAGGTGCCCTGAGTGGTCAGCAAGGGGCTTCAGTAGCAGGGAAGTAGCTCTCTTAGTTGCCAATTGACCTCATTGGAGACATAGTCCGCAGCAACAGTACCGACACAAGAAAAGAGACCAGTTAAAAGAAGCAGTACATGCCGAAACGGTTTGGCTCAGTGGATAGAGCGTCGGCCTGCGGACTGAAGGGTCCCAGGTTCGATTCCGGTCAAGGGCATGTACCTGGGTTGTGGGCACATCCCCGTTAGGAGATGTGCAGGAGGCAGCTCATCGATATTTCTCTCTCATCGATGTTTCTAACTATCTCCCTTCCGTTCTGTAAAAAATCAATAAAATATATTTTTTTTAAAAAAGAAGCAGTACAAGTATTAATAACTTTTTCCATCTTGCTTCCCCTCTGCCAGGACCTAAACCGGTGGGTTAGTAAGTCACCTAGTTTGGGCTGGGTCATTTAAGGCATTTACATGAGTTTTCATATGTACTAACAAAGAAGAAATATTAGCAGATTCACCTGGTATAAGAACACAACATTCAGTTTGGATAATGGCACAGGTCTCCCACCCCCACCCCCCACCCCCACCACACACATACACAGGCCTGTAACGGATTGCTACAGGAACAGCAGGAAATCTAAGGTCAGAAAGACAAATATTTAGCCCTGGCTGGTTTGGCTCAGTGGATAGAGCATCGGCCTGCAGACTGAAGGGTCCCGGGTTTGATTCCAGTCAAGGGCACTTATCTCAGTTGCAGGCTCCTCCCCAGCCTGGGCCCTGGTCAGGATCATGCAGGGGGCAACCAATCGATGTGTTTCTCTCACATCCACATCAATATTTCTCTCTGTCTTTCCCTCTCTCTCAAAAAAATTAAAAAAAGCAATGGAAAAATATCCTCAGGTGAAAATTTAGAAAAAAAAGAAAAATATTTATTTATTTTAATGTATTTCTTTATTGATTTCAGAGGAAGGAAGAGGGAGAGAGAGATAGAAACATCAATGATGAGAATCATTGATTGACTGCCTCCTGCATGCCCCCTACTGGGGACCGAGCCCACAACCCAGGTATGTGCCCTTGGCTGGAATCAAACCTGGGACCCTTCAGTCCGAAGGCTGACACTCTATCCACTGAGCCAAACTGGCTAGGGCAAAGACAAATATTTAGTAGGGACTTGAATTGGAAGATCTATGAGAATTATACTTGCAGTCTGATCTTTAGATGTTAGTGTAGCCGCAGTGTGTGGAACCTGGCCAGGCTGTGTAAACCATACTTATTGGTCAGGAAGAAACAGTGCTCTTCCCGACCAACAAGTAAAGCGGTGAATAGGGCGAGGACTATATTAGATCAGGACCCCTACTTTCTCCCCTCTTTCAGTGGTGCATGTACCCATCTGAGTATAGCCTGTCTCTATGGCTCCTGACTGGATTAGGATAACAGGGTCCTACGGGAGACTGAGCAGTTCCTCTCCCCCAGGTGCATGAAGTAACCAACCCATCACAGGGCAGTACCTCATTGCAGATTCCAGAGAATGTTCCAGGGACGATAAGGCCTGGTGCCTTCAATACCATGGCCCACTGGTCCATGGCAAGCATCAAGACTATTACTGTGTCCTTTGTTTCTCACACCTTAACCATATTGGGTGCCTCGTCTGAGCTCCCAGCCTGGCATACAGAGCAATAGACCCCACTGTTGGTCATTTAAGAGTATTTACACTTGGGAAAACACCTTTGTATACTGGCCAAAGTTGGTTTTCTAATTAGTAAGTTAATCTGTTAAGGACCCCCCCTTTTTTTTAAGGACCCCATTTTTAAAAAAAAATATATTTTTATTGACTTCAGAAAGGTTAAGGACCCCATTTTTAAAAAATATATATTTTTATTGACTTCAGAGAAAAAGGGAGGAGAGACAGAAACATTAATGATGAGAGAGAATCATTGATCAGCTGTCTCCTGCACGCCCCACACTGGCGATCAAGGTCGAAACCCGGGTATGTGCCCTGACTGGGAATCGAACCAGCGACCTCTTGGTTCCTAGGCTGACCCTCAACCACTGAGCCACACCCGGCTGGGCCAGAGTATTCTGATGACGACTCATGATTGGCAAAATATTCAATGTCAAAGTAAAAGTAATTTTACAAAATTATTAATAAAAGAGCCCCTTACTTTAACTATTCAGGCCTTGGTTTTTCATGACATCTTTGGGGTTGGGAACAGGAAAATAAAATGCAAATTAAGTGCTCTTTTACAAGTTAGCAACACCATTTCTAGGTAGAAACTACTACAGCAAAACAACACATATATAGACACACATGAACATATGGCTTCTAAAAAAGAGGTGGGATCTGTTCAAAGGAGCTTCCCGGCCGCCCACCTGCCTTTATCTGCCAGTCCCTATGCTAACAGAGTTGTAGACATTCTAACATCTTTTTCTAGTTTGTTTTTCCTGTCTAACCCTGTCTTTTGCTTCTAGTGGGCATCTGTGACCAGCCTACAGTTGTAGCCATAGATTTCCTGCCTTGCCACAGTGCAGTTCCTTAAACAAGTAGGAGACCAGCCAGCATTTTCAGAGTCCCCTGCACTCATGCGGCAGTCCACTGTGTCTAACGTACAGCTCACCCCTCCCCACAGAGAGGTCAATGGCCAGGTCGACCCCCTTTACCAAAGCCCATTTCTTTGGTCTCCTGGCGGGCTTGCCAATTGTTAATACATGCACGCCCAGGGGAAAGCCCCAAGACTGAAAATCTACCTCCAAAAGCAGAGCGTGGGGAAAGACCTAAGAAAGCTGCCACTCCTCTCTAATAATAGTTTTCAAAGTGGCTGCAAGCTGAAATTGATCCCCATGCTGCTTGGCAGGTGCCAAAGAATTGTACAGGGTAAAAGGAGGAATAGTCATATATACTGACATGTGAATGCTATTAGGTAGGGGAAAATACTTCACATGCTTGACCATATCAGGACAACCTGTTCCAGGAACTGGCACATAGCCTGAGGCAAAAGGGGGGCGATCTGTGTCAGAATGAACATCAAGTACATCAGGTCCTACAGCAGTCAAGTCATGGAACAGTCTCTTCCCCTCTGGGGGAAGACAGTCTTTCATGTCTTTCCGATTCCCCATCAGTCCATCTAGTTCAATGACGTTATCTCACTCCTTTGATAAGAAAATCAAAGCCCTGCCCTAGCCGGTTTGGCTCAGTGGATGGAGCATCAGCCTGCGGACTGAGGGGGCCCAGTTTGATTCCAATCACGGACACATACCTTGGTTGCAGTCTTGCCCCCATCTCACATTGATGTTTCTCTCTCTCTGTCTCTCCTCCCTTCCACTCTCTCAAAAGATCAATGGAAAAATATCCTGGGGTGAGGATTAACAACAAACAACAACAAAAAGAAACCCAAAGCCCAGATTCCTCAGGTCAGCAGGGCCACCTGCTGAGTTGCCAGAGGTGAGGGTCACTGTCCTGTCTCCAGCAGCTGACTTAAGGCCTGAAGGCTGCGAATAAGCAAGTGAAGCAGGAGGCTCCAGACGGGCCTCAGCCCAGGCCTGAGGAAGTGGAGGAACTGGAGCCCTTCCAGGAGAGCACCCGCAGTGCACAGAAGGAGAGGTCTCAGAGAACAGCCAGAGTGCAAATCTTTATTACGAACTGGTTTCAACAAGAAAATGAGTGTTTATACCTAGAAACATGGACAGCTCTCCCCCAGCAGCTCCCAGGGTGGGGAAGGAGGGCAGGAGTCTATCTAGGGTTTTCCCCTCCCTACCCCAGTAGAAGTGGGACCCCAGGGAATGGTCCAAGTTCCTTCCATCCAGCTGGGGGCCCTGCGACTACCTCACCCAGGACAGCCAGCAGCTGAGGGCAGGGGAGGAGGCTGAGCCGCTAAGAACCAGCCCTGGAGGGAAGTGTATAGGG